ATAATATTTTAAACTAACAAGACACACTCTACTAGTAAGGTCAAGCATTCCTTCTTTTTGCCTCCAGCCCCATAATTTCAGACTGGACTCTCTTCTTTGGAAATTCCTTCTGTGCCCTTCTATGCACAGCACTGTGCTACATAAACATTCATCTTTTTACCTGTCTTTTAAGCTAGTTCTGTTCTTATGCTACAAACCAATCTTTTTTTTTTTTTTTTTTTTTTTGGTGATTTGGGTGAAGATTTACAGAGCAGATTCACTTTCCATACAGCAGTTCACATACACTTTGTCTTATGACATTGACCACCGTTTACCACAACACAACAGCTCCCCTCCCACTTGCTCTCCACAGGTACCCCTTACCCTTTCCCAGGGTCCATCCCTCCATGCACTCCTGCCCTGAGCTGTCTCCCTGTGCATAAGCAGCCTTTCTTTCTCCCATGATTGTTCTCTCCAAGGAGTGTATTTACCTGAGGTAATGTTCAACTCATATGCCTGTCTTTTGTTTGGCTGGAAACCACGGGTGTGGGTTCAATTCCAGACCTGAAGGGCAGCTAGGGCCCATAGTCTCAGTGGTTCCACCAGGCTCTATCGGACCAGCAAACCTGGTCTCCCCACCCCTTTTTTTTTTCTCCAAATAATTTTGAGTTTTGTTCCACATTGTTCTCCCTCTCTATCAAGGATTTCCTACATAGATCCCCTTCCAAGTGGATGACAGTGGTAGCCGGGCACCATCTAGTTCTTCTGGTCTCATAGTCATATAGGCTGCAGATCAGGTGGTGTACCACTCGCTAGGACTAATTGTTTCCCTGAATTTTGGTTTTCTTCATTCTTCTTTGCTCTGGATGAGGAGAGACCCATTGTTGCATCTAGATGGCAGCTTGCTAGCTTTTAAGATCCCAGTTATTACTCGCCAAAGTAGGAGGTGGAACAATGTTTTGTATAGTATGTTATGCCAATTGAGCTTGATGTCCCCTGCGACTATGGTCCCAAGCCCACAGGTTCAACTACTCGATCCCTCTTGGTGTGACCAAGAGGGTAGCTGGCTGTTACCAAGCAGTGACCACAACCTTGCCCCTTGTCAGCTCTACTATACACCTGGGAATTCTGATCATTCACATAAACTTATAGGATCATTGTCTGCCAACCCTATACATGTTCTTGGATACACACCCCATTTCACAGACATACCTATGTACAAATCAATTTTTGATGCCCATGCCAATGAAGATATTATATACCTGCTAATTAGGATTATTTCAGACATACAGCATGTGGATTTATGGTTTCCGTAAATACCATCGAAATGACTTACAAACAATGGACCCAGGAGAACAGTATAGCATTCCCACAAGTCACCAATCCCATTGGAATGACAAGTCACCACTCTCATTCAAATAGGGAACCTCTGGGATCCAACAAAGCCCTGCAAATGCAAACCATAAGAGTGCCATAGAGACATAAAAGCCAATATAATAAGATACACTCTGTTAGTGGAAAAAGAGTGAAAAAAAGTACTGAACTTTTGCTACAAGTTCCCTTGGAAAGTTGGGCTATCATGTCAACAAATCTGTTCCGACTGATGCCTTATTATTTTCTTATGATTCTAATGTCTTGTATCTGTAATAATTTTAAAAAACTTACACTGTTTTATCATAAGGGCTTCCAACTAGTTAACTGTAGTTTGACACACACACCCACTGAGAATTTGCATTTCCACCTAATATACTGAATCAGAATCTACTTTTTAACAAGGTCCGCAGGTGATTTTTATGTATATATAAGAATCTGTTCATTATCTTCCTTACAGTTATAATCCTGTTTCTTGAATCCACTGCTCTATCTGGATGCTTTTCAATCAATGTAAGTAAAAGAATCCCCGACTACAAGTGCTGTGAAGACTTAGGACAGTTTTTTTTTCCACACTAAGTTCAGAAGAAAGTAATTCCAGGATTGGTTGAGTGGTTTTCAAAGACCCATAGTTCTGTCACCTTTCCCAGTGTGAGCTCTCCTCTTCTGAGCTCAAGATGATTATTATAGATCACATCCTCCCACATCAGTATCACAAAGCAGGAAGAAAAGCAGAAATGATCTGTGTCCCTCTCTCAAAAAAACCCAACAAACTCACTGCCATCAAGTCGATTCAACTCACAGCGCCCCTATTGGGTTTCTGAGGTGCTAAATATTTACCGAAGTAGAGTGCCCCATCTTCCTTCCATACAGCGGCTTGTGGGTTTGTACCACCAACCTTCTGGTTAGCAGTCGAGTGCCTTAGGCACGTCTCTACCATGTAGTTATTACCATACCTGGCAAATAACCAGCAGTCTACAATTATTTATCATTGGTAGGACTTCCAATATGGCTCCTAAACCAATTACTAGCAAAGAGGTTTCCAACCTTCTTTGTGGATATTAATACCTGATACCAAATCAATGTATGGATTTCTTACCGAAGATATTCTGGTGTCACTACATGGTTATTGTCACTACATGGTTATTATGGACTGTATCATAATTTTGCTTACGGAGCTGCTATTTAGCCAAACTTTGCTTGTCAAAATCCTGTACAGCCTGAGTGGGAATGGTCATCTTGACAGTGTTTATACCAGACTCCGAGGTTATCACAAGCCTAAAATCAATGTTGAGTTTGAATACTGCTTAACTTGCAGTAGATACGAATTGGAAACGGAGCATATTGCAAATAAAAATGTTTACACACAGCACCTAACCCAACACAAGCTTCTTTGTCCTTTTGTTGATGGGTGAACTTTTCTTACTCCTCCCTTTCTTTAAGGGTGCAGCCCACTGACAGTGCTGGCTTTTTGCAGATGTTGAATCCTAACTTCCTGCCTCAGGCTGGCCAATGATTCATAAATTTATCAATTTATCAATTTTCCCCACCTATAATTGAAAGCTTTAATATACTGCTATTAAAGTGTGGTCTGCAAACCAGTGGCAGGCCATAAGCATCTGCAAACTTTAACAGGCATGTGACACTGTCACTCCATCTCTGCACTCAGAAAGGTAAAGACCTGTCATAGTGCTGTCAAGTTTGTGCAGAGATACACGTGGTACAAAATGCACACTAGGCTTGCCCAGTAGTGCATTCTGGGAAATAACTACTGGACAGGATTCAAGGACCTATAGCCTTACCGTGAGTTGACCTTGGGTTACAACTCCACTTATCCTGTTAAGTTCCCACTTGGTCCACAGATCACAGTAGTATGATGTGATGTATGAGTCAGAGCTAGTATCCAGTACCTCTGAAAGGTAAAGAGTTACTTAGGTCATGGACATAACCAAAAACCAACCCACTGCTGTGGAGTCAATTCTGGCTCAAAGCAACTACAAAGGGCAGAGCATAACTGCTTACAGAGTTCCCAAGGCTATAAATCTTCATGGAAGCTGACTGCCGTATCTTTCCCCCATAGAATGGCTGGTAGGTTCGAACAGCTAACCTATCAGTTAGCAGCCAAGCATTTAACCTCTGTGCCACCAGGTTACGGGTTCAGGCACACTAAAAGAAGGTTCACATTACTACCTTCTTCCTTCATGTGTATAAGGACAACAAACATAACTAGTTGCTGTTGATTCCAACTCATGAACAACCCCATGGTGTTGGAATAGAACTGTGCTCCATATGGTTCTTATTGGCTGATTTTCTTAAGGAAATCACTAAGCCTTTCTTCTTAAGTGCCTCTGGGTGGATATGAACCACAAACCTTTTGGTTAGTAGCTTAACTGCTTAACCCAGGAACTCCGTAACTATATGTCCTACACTACACTACTCTTAAGTCAACAATTTATCAATTAGAATATGTACATTACAGGAAACAAGCTCTTTCTTCTTAAGCGGAAAAAGAATGTTTATTTAAAAGCTATCTGGAAGCATACAGAGGCCAGAAGGGCAGGGACAGTACCCAAAGTTGCTGTGGGAATCGATTTATCAGGAACTGATGATGATCTCAGTAGAATTCTGTAGTAAAATAAATGATTTCTCACATTTCTCCTCTGGTTCATGCGAGATTGAAGTACAGACTCAAATTCCTGGAAGAGAGGTTACCAGTAGCAAACAGTGAGAATTATGCTCACCTTTGGCTACTGGAAGAGACAACGTGAAAGACACCACGACACAAGGATTCACATAACACAGAGGCATTTCTCCAAAGAAAACTTATCAGTAGATGGAAGACAGATACTGAATTGCTCAAATATAATAAATATTATGAGGGCTCTTAAGGATTCTCTCAAGAGGCAGCCCTATAGCAACTGCCAGACCCACATCTAAGTAAGAAGTTAAAAGCTATTTGGAGTGCAAGTGTATCACTTGTTATAAGTCATATCACTTTAGTTGCATTACTAAGAAATAAAGAGACTATGCTGGTAGTTAGCATTAATATAGATAATACTGGTGGGTGTTACTCCATAGACTATCAAATATATGTATAACAACTTACACTAAAAAAATATCAAAATTTTAAAATATGCTATTTACTGTTACTCGGGAAACTCAAATAAAATATACCTGAACTTTCAGAATATGTTTTTTGCTATCTTCCTGACCATTACTTTACACAATTAAAAAGAACACTTTTATACTATACCATGAAAATGTCTACCACTTCTGAGATTTTCTTCACTCTTTGTAAAAACATCGCTTTAAACCTGGAATGTTACTTTTTAACACACTTTCTACAGAAAAATGCTTTTTCAATTCATTAATTTTTAAGGTGTTCTCAGGATGAGTTTTCTTAATTAAATCTTCATAATGTTGCCACTACATTTGGTACATTTACTGATCAATTATTCTCTTACCTATGAAGATTTGTATGACTTACTTTCGAATGCTTTTACACACTCATTCCAAATACCTAACTTATCTGAGATGAGTGTGTTTTCAGGACCTCCTGCGTATATATCTGTCTGCATGATCAGCTGAAGTCTCCTGAGGATCAACTTCTGTAAGTGTGCTTCTAACCTTCATTTCGTCATTCTGATTTCTCACTTGTGAGTTTTGCGATGTATACGAAGGCCTGAATTCCAACAGAAGGATTTCCCACACTCAGAGCATTTCCATGGTTTCTCTCCTGTATGAACTCTCTGATGTTCACTGAGGGATGACTTCTGAGTGAAGGCTTTTCCACATTCACTGCATTTAAAAGGTTTCTCTCCTGAATGAGTTTTCTGATGTATCTGGAGTGATGCCTTCCGAGGATAGGCTTTTTCACACTCACTGCACTCATACGGCTTTGCTGTTGAGTGAGTTCTCTGATGTATAATGAGCTGTGACTTCCCACAAAAAGCTCTCTCACAGAAACTGCACTCATAGGGTCTCTCACCTGTGTGTGTCCTCCTATGTATAACGAGGTATGACTTGCTGCTGAAGGCTTTCCCACATTCACTGCATCCATAGGGCTTCTCTCCCGCATGAGCCCTCAGGTGTGCAGTGAGCTGTTCCCTCCTGCCAAAAGCTTTCCCACATTGACTGCATTCATATGGATTATTTCCTGTGTGAATTCCCTGATGTACAACAAGTTGTGTCTTCATATTGAAGGCTTTTCCACAATCACTGCATCGATAAGGTTTCTCTCCTGTATGCATTCTGATATGTACAAGCAGGTATGACTTACTCCTAAAGGCTTTTCCACATTCATTGCATTTATGTGGTTTCACTCCTGTATGAGTTCTCTGGTGTACAACAAATGGTGATTTCAAACTAAAGGCTTTCCCACATTCACTACACTCATAGGGTTTCACTCCTGTATGACTTCTCTGGTGTAAAATAAGCTGTGACTTCCAACTGTAGGCTTTCCCACACTCACTGCAAGCAAAGGGTTTCCCTCCCGTGTGAACTTCCTGATGGACAATAAGCTGTGACCTGAAAGAGAAGACTTTCCCACATTCATTGCATGCATAGGGTTTTTCTCCTGTATGGACTCTCTGATGAGCATTCAGATTTGACTTGGCACTAAAGGCTCTCTCACATTTAGTGCATTCATAAGGTCTCTCTCCTGTATGAATTCGGAGATGGACAATGAGCTGTGACCTACAACGAAAAGCTTTCCCACATTCATTACATACACAGTTTTTTTCTACTGTATGAGATCTTTGATGCTTAAGAAAATATGATTCTTCATATCCATGAAACTTATCAGGATTCTTCCTAACACAGTTTCTAGATGAACCTGAGTTTTGTGTCAAATTTTTTCCATGTGTGTTATACTTAGGGAGTCTTTGTCTTGAAGAAACATGGTTTGCGCTCAGATGATGTTTTCCAAATGTACTGCAAACATAACTTTTCTCGGTACTTTCAAGCTCATCTTGATGTTTCTGATACCATTCTTCCCAGCCTTCTAGGGGGAAAAAAAAAAAAAACCATACTTTTTGAATCACAGCATGAACCTGATACAACTGCCATGTAGTGAGTCTTTTTCTTTTGGCAAAAGGTATATGACACTGGTTGCAAAAAACGCAACAACTGCCGTGGAGTCAGATCTGACTCATAGTAACCCCTCCTTGGGTTTCCGAGGCAGTATCACTATGGAAGTAGATTGCCTAACCTTCCTTCCGAGGAGTGGCTGGTGGGTTTGAACCGCCAGCCTTCTGGTTAGCAGTCAAGTACCTTAGGCACTACGCTACCAGAGCTCCCATGACACTGGTTAATACTGGCCAAATACACATGTGCCACACCATGAAGGCATGGGGGCAAAGGGAATACACAGAACCAAACCAAACCAAACCAATTCACCTCATGCACATGGGTAGTAAATTTAAAATGACCAAAACTGGCTTTTAGTGTTAAAAATTGAGGTTTAAAATATTTAGCTTATACCCAGGTGCCAGTTGCTCACTATTTCACATCAGAATTTTGTTACTACAAGACTTGACTTGCCTAAAAAGTTAATTTATAGGAGACAAAAATACCAGGATATAACATTAGGTAGAGTGACTGTACTGAAACCATAAAGATGAAAATGAGTGAGCCATAAGAATATTAAGAGTAAGAACATCCCAAATGGAAGGAACAGCAAGTACAAAGTTCATGACCTGGGAACCTGCTTGGCATGGTTAAGAAAGAAGAAGAAAAAAAAAGGCCAAGATACTTAAGATTCACTAGTGAAGAAAGTGAAGACAAGAAGCAAATTATACAAGGCCAAGGTAAAAAGTCCTCATTTTAGCCAAGGGATTTTGTTAGAGCAGAACCTGACTTGTGTTGTTTTAAAAAGATCAGTTTGGTTACTATGAGTAGTGCTGCTATAACAGAAATACCACAAATGGATGGCTTTAACAAAAATTTATTTTCTCACTTTTTAAGAAGCTACAAGTCCAAATTCAGGGTGCCAGCTCTAAGGGAAGGCTTTCTCTGTCAGCTCTGGGGGAAGTCCTTGTCTCCTTTCAACATCTGTGGGCCAGGCATTCCTTGGAGAGCTCCATGTGTGTTAGCAATCAATCTTCCCCTGGGTCTAAGATGTTCACAGCAACATGGACCCCAGGTCCAAAGGATATGCCTCACTCCTGGCTCTTCTTTCTTGGTGGCAGTCAGATCCCTCCTTCTCTGCTCACTTCTCTGTCCTTCTATCTCTTGTAAAATAAAAGGTGATGTAGGCCATAACACAAGGAAACTCCCCTTACATTGGATCAGGGCTGTGATCTGAGTAAGGACATTGCATAAGATTGGCTGATCATATCAAATCACATCATGAGGGATGACTGCATCATTACATAATTCCCAAATTACATCACTGCTTAACTGTCAAACCACTGAGAATCACGGCCCAGACAAGCTGATACGTGTTTGTGGGGGACACAATTCAATCCATGACACTAGGCTTTTACTACTAGCCACCTTAAAACTCTTCCAGCCTCTACCAATATCCAATTTCAAAACGATTTATACATTTTAGCTATCTGTTTTTAGAGCAGCAACCCACTCTTCCAAAACCAAACTCTGTTTTGGTTATTGAATGCTACTATAACTGAAATACAACAAATTTATGGTATTTAAGAAACAAATTTATTCTCTCACAGTTTAGGAGGCTAGAAGTCTGCATTCCGGGTGTCAGCTCTCAGGGAAGACTTTCTCTCTGTCAGCTGTGGGGAAAGATCCTTATCTCCTTTCAATATCTGTGGGGCCAGCATTCTCTGGAGATCTCCATGTGTCTTGGCACCAATTTACCCCCCGGTCTAGGAGGTGCTTAGCACAGGGACTGCTGGTCCAAAGGATGCACTCTACTCTCAGCTCTTCTTTCTTGATGGTTATGAGGTCCCTCTCTGCTCATCCTGTTATCTCTTGTAAGATAAAAGATGTGGATCAAGCAAGGGTGGGCCATGAGTAAGGGTGCGACTTGAGAAAGGGTGGGACTTGGGCCATGCCTTCTTATAAAGCTTTGACTCAAGATATACCCCACAATAATCCTGCCATGGAATGGCTGGTAGGTTCAAACAGCCAACCTATCAGAAGATAATTACATCAGATCAAGGATCAAAATGGAGAACCACCACCCAATACTGGGGATCACAGCCTAGCCAGGCTGACACATATTGTTAAAAGAAAAAAACAAAACAAACTCACTGCCATGGAGTCGGATCCAACTCATAGCGACCCCTCCCTGGGTTTCTTAGGTGGTATCACTATGGAAGTAGATTGCCCAACCTTCCTTCTGAGGAGTGGCCGGTGGGTTTGAACTGCCAGCCTTCTGGTTAGCAGTCAAATGCCTTAGGCACTACACCACCAGAGCTCCTGACAACATATACAAGGTGTTAAATGACATATAAGCCAGGGTAAAATTATCTTGGGGACAAGTACAGATAAAGGAAACTAAAAGCAAGCCCTGAAAGTGAACACATTTAAAGTTAGGCAGGAGGTACAGAGAGAGCAAAAAGGTCATCTACAAGGTCCAAATCGTAATATAAGGAGGAAATAAACAGACAAGAAAGTTAAAGAAAAACATTAGAAAGTCTACATTTCAATAGCAATTGTACATTGTAATTATCCTATTACAAGATTACTGTGGTAGCATAGTAGTTTTTCTACTTCTTTAATACCGCTTGTTAAACATTCTGTGTCCAGGAATGGTAGCATGATTCAGATTATGGTTTAGATCTGAAAGCTGAAGCCACAAAATAATGAGCAGTGAGAAAAACACAAAGGCCAGTGGCTAGGGGAGGGGAATCCTTAGGCTTAATGACCATGTCTAGACAAGACTTTAGGTTGTTATTATTGGCTTAATAGTATTAATCAGGGGAAAAAAAAAAAAAAAAGAGTAATGACTAAAAGCCTACTAAGCAAGTATTTGAGGAAACTCCAATCCTAGTCTGATAACGACCTATGACTCTTCAACCCTAAACTGCCATAAAGTGACACCAACAGAGTGGGCTGCCCAAAGCTTACATCAGATATAGACACAGGGGACGACAGAAAAGAAGGTCCTTTCAGAGGAAGATCAGGAGCCATACTCGTCAATTAGCAAGATCATTTTAGAAATAGAACCAGGGACTGCAAAACTGGTCAAGAAAATTACACCAATGCTAGGACAAGAGTCGTTTTCTTAAAGAAGGTGAGGAGTGCAGTGAGCCAGGAATGACTATTGCTTTCCATCCTTCCCTTCTGGAAAGAAGAGTTTCTGTTATGATGTCTTTGTTCCTTCTCCACTACTGGGTGTGTCTGGAATAGACCTTATCTTTTGTGTGTCAACTCACATCACAAAGGCTTCATCCATAACTTCATGTCAAGTCTGGCAGTCCTGCACACATTCCAGGAGATCCAGAAACTCCTGGACTTGAAAGTGGATTCAGGTCCAGGATAAGAACATGGATTGCCCTCCTTTGGGTAAAGGACACTCCATTTCACATTGAAGTGAGCATTTCTGAACACATACAGTGAAAGAAGGGCAAGTTGTGTTGAAAATCTAAAATGACAGTGCAAAAAAGGGCAGTAGGGCAGCATCCTTTGACCTCCTCCACCCTCAAGACAGGTAAACAGAGTTACCAACAACAGCCGAAGGGTTATTCCTATGAGGCCAGACATGCCACCACACTTCAGCCTTTTTACTAATTCTGACACCAACCATCCCTTCCAGGGCACTCACTACTTCTCTGCTGGGTTCAATAATTCATTGTCATGGCCACACAGAACTCACAAACAACACTCACAGTTATGGGGGTTTATTAGGATGTAACAAGCTGTAATTCAGGTTCAGGAATTCACTCAGGATACAATTGTTTGATCAGGACAGTCTCCCCTCTGCTATGTCCTCAGAAATGCCTCTCTGACCCTTGGCCTCTGCCTTACTCAGGCAAGGTTACAAAGCTCTTTTAGCTCTGCCGATAGGCACACCTAAGGGCACCCCACTCCATCAGCAAGCCTCCTGCCCGAGGGCACTCAGCTTCCTTGCTCTGTGGGCCAGCAAGCCCACATCGCCATCTCATGCCTTTTGGTTCCTCTGTGGTCATCTCAGCCAGTTGTCTCTGCCAAGGAGGTCCAGTGCAGGGATCTTGGGTCCCAGGATGCACTCCACTCCACCTTTGGCTCTTCTCTCCTAATGGCAGTGAGACCCCCCCTTCTGCCTCTCAACTCACTGCCATCGAGTCAGATCCGACTCATAGCGACCCCTCCTTGGGTTGCCGAGGTGCTATCTCTATGGAAATAGATTACCCAACCTTCCTCCCGAGGCTTCTGCCTCTAGGAGGGCTCATTTTAAGCCTAGCAGAATGACAAAACTAACCAATCCCCACATTAGGTTCCATATACCTTATCTGCATGGTCCTACCCCCACAAGGGGGAGCTCTGGTAGCATAGTGCCTAAGGCACTTGACTGCCAACCAGAAGGCTGGAGGTTCAAACCCCCCAGCCACTCCTTGGAAGAAAGGTTGGACAATCTACTTCTGTAGTGATACCTCGGAAACCCAAGGAGGGGTCGCTATGAGTCAGGTCTGACTGGAAGGCACATAGCAACAACAACCCTCACAAGGGTGCCATGTACTTTATTTACATTAGCAAGCTATCCAATCCCCTTGGTGGGTCACAAGCACTTCACATTTGCATATTCCACCTAGTAATCTGGTAGGAGTCACAAAGACCATGGCTAGAAGAGCCGTACCAAGTCATTCACTGCACCAGAAGTGGAATATAATAGACACAGGTCATTCCCTAACCCAAAGCCACTTTCCTTCTTTCTGTGAAGGCAACCCTGATTTTGTGAGGCACTCCACCTGAGAAGAGTACCATTCTCAGAGCCGCAGGGCACATCAGGTCAGGACTCCCCATACATACTGGCTTAGGGTATGAGGGCATGTGAATTTTACAAAAAGTGTGCTGGCAGTCTTCTGGGAAAGATTCAGGTCACCGATGAAAAGAGATTTTTTAGAAAGTAGTAGGACTTATACCACTCGTTCCTGTTTTGTCTGCATGTGATGCCTGGAACTGAGGCACCTATTTGTTGATGCCGAAGGGGGTTTATTGAGAGGAGTAACTTCTGAGGATGACAAAGTGGGAAGATGAATGGAAGCCTGGTTCCTAACATCAACAAGCTTCTGAATGAAGTCACCATAAAGTTGTTGCACAACAGACATTCGTCATTTCCGATTATAAATTCTTTATTATTCAAGTCTAGCTGAACCATGAATTTTCAAATTAAAGCATCTTGATACAAGAATGAACTGTATGTTTCTCAAATAAGATAGACTGAAAATATGCTAAGCAACATCAAAGGAGAAGATTAGAATTCTCAAATATGGCTAAGAATTAGAGCCATCCTAGGATGAGGAAATACTGTGCTAGTCTGGGTGAAACTTGAGGAGACAGTAACAGGAACAACATCAGTAAAGGAGATGAGAGGCAAAGACATTCAAGGTGAGTCCAGAGAAGCCAAGACATAGGCCTAGAAGTATACCAACCATAAAAAAAAAAAAAAAAAACAGGAAGATGGTTATTTTGGAAGTTAACTCCCATTTCTGAAACTGAGTTGAAGACTGGAAAAGCTCCCTGGAGCTATCCTGCAGGCACATAAACACAGGGCTCCAGTGAAGAGGAAAGAGATGAGATATCAACTGTGACGTTATAACACAGAAAGAAGAAAGCTCTAAATTTAGACAGAAAGAGCTACTCAGCAAAGTTACATTACAGAGGAAGGCCAAACGTAGAGAGAAACCCATTTGGAGAACTCCAAAGGAAGAATAAGAGCCAGGGAAATGAAAGGTGTGTGAAAAGACTTAATGACACAGGTGACATCAGGTTAGATGTCAGAATCCTTTCAAATCAAATGGCCAGGAATGTAAACCCTCTTGATTTCAAAGTGATCAGTTACAGAAAGAAATGAAATGAAATCTCACAAAAGGGTCAAGGTGAGAGAGAAGAAGTCCAACCGTGACCAAAATCTAATGAATTAACAGCGGAAGCCAAGAGAGAAAACAAATTTAGGACAGCAGAAGGGGGCTGACAAACAAAGTACAGGCATGTGAGTTAAACATTTACCTCAAGTAGACACACGCCCTGGAGAGAACAATCATGGGAGAAGGAAGGGCTGCTTATGCACAGGGAGATAGCTCAGGGTGCAGAAGAGTATGAAGGGATGGACACTGGGAGGAGGTAACTGTGGGGAGGAAGTGGGAGGGGAGCTGCTGCATTGTAAATTTTGGTCAATGACATGAGACAAAGTATATGTGAACTGCTGTATGAAAAGTGAATTTACTCTGTAAATCTTCACCCAAATCCTAATTAAAAAAAAAAAGAAGGGGGCTGAGAGAGACCAAGTGAGAGGGAACTGAAAAGCTCTGAAAGCTTGGAGGCCTAATAACAGAAATTTATGACCACGAGTATGAATGCAGACAGATAAAGGGCCTAGGAAAAGGCAAACAACTTAGAGAGAAAAGTTGAAGAAGCCAAGGGAGGAAGCCCCAGACATGTCCAAGTGACAGTCATTTCCTCAGTGGATTGAGGACTTTAAAGAAGAGTTTCCAAATACAATATCACATCAATGACACTAAGGGTGGTTTTACCTCCACATCTCCCAACATCTTGGTCCTCACTCACCCACCTGCACAGCTCTGACTGGACAGTTTGGCATTTATTTTCCACGGCTCTTCTCCTTGCTCCAACTTGAAGATTAAATCAGGTTTACTACCATGATATCCTGTTAATGGAAAACCACAAAGGGTTTGGACCATACTTGTACAGGTTCAGGGAATCTGAAGACAGGGGAAGGCATGGCATCAGGAGCTACAAAAGGAAACTACTCATTTACACTTGAGGAAAAATTTCAAATAGGAGGTGCAAACCAAGGAGAGACTGAGAGCATTTCACTCTAAAGTCCAACTCACTAACCATTAAGAACTTCAGAGACTATAAAAGAAAAAGGGGTGGCAATTTTTTATTTCCAGCCTGAGTTAAATAGAAAAGCAGTACTTACCTACAGATATTAGGTTGTTATAGTTTTCTAATATCACATCCTGGTACAGGTACTTCTGAGCAGAGTTCAGCAGCTGCCACTCTTCCCAGGTGAACTCCATAGATATATCCTTGAACGACAATAATCCCTGTAATAATATATACTCATTCAATCTGATGCAATTACATTAAGTGACATGGACAAGATGTAGAGGGACTGAGAAGTGAGGAAAAAGTGCTTCTACAGATTGCCTCCTATGCCTGGTTTTACCTTATGAAGGAATTTTGAAAAATGTGAGATTCTACACGCCAAATAATCTTCTGGGGCTTGATGGTATCAAGGTGAATAAAACACAGTGCTACCATCAAGAAGCTTCAATCTTGGAGAGGGAAACAGATATCCAGCCATGCAAATTAAATCATGCTACGAGTCTTCTGTAACATATCCTCGGTACATTTTTAAAAGAAATGGAGAAGAGAACAATTCTGAAAGTTTGGCAGGTTAGGCCCTACCGAGAGAACAATCTTTTCAAAAAGAGTCATGGTGTGTTCCTCAAGAAGGATGCGTGCGGTGTGATGGATCACTTTTATCTGTCTGTTCTTACTGTGGTCTTTTAACTCCCACCAATAATTGGGTAGGACTACGCAAATGAGATGCTTGTGGCCCACAAGTGGGATATGACAGCTTGCAAATAAGGTGCATGGCATCCTTGTGGGGGTGGGGCTGTGCCAAAAAGGTGTAAGGAACCCCAACACACTAAATGGTTACCTTTGACATCCAAAAGGCCAACAAGAAGAGACAAAAGTAGAGTGTATCTTTGGGCCCAAGGTCCTTGCAATGAGAAACTCCAAGACCCAGGGGACAGGGAGACAGAGAAGCTGTAACTCCAGAGATGGCACAAGATGGTGGGAAGCAGCAGCAGAGCAACGGCAGCAGAGGAACCAGGAGACGACGCTAGATTGTGCAGGGAGCTTCCTGGACCACAGAGCAAGGTGGTTACAGGGGACGTGCTAACTCACAGCATGACAGAGCTGAGAACTTTCTTGCTGAAGGCCTCCTGGTGGAGTGAAGTGCCCTCTGGCACTTAATGGTGGCGCTAAAGAGCTTTCTAACACTTGCCTGAGCATGCTACAAAGACCAAGGGCCAGAGAGAGGCCTGCCTATTGGCATGGCTGAGAAGAGGCTGTCCTGATAAACTGAGTCATTCCTGATCCTGAATTGTAACCTGTTATTTCCTGCAGTGCAGTGAATTGCTTAACATGGCCCTTCTAGGCACAGGCCTCCATTTTCTGATATATTACAAATCCTAGTCTCTATGCCTATTTAGGGGGAGCTCTGGTAGCTTAGTGCCTAAGGCACTTGACTGCTAACCAGAAGGCTGGCGGTTCAAACCCACCAGCCACTCCTTGGAAGGAAGATGGAGCAATCTACTTCTGTAGTGACACTGCCTCGCAAACCCAAGGAGGGGTTGCTATGAGTCAGGTCCGACTTGACGGCACATAACAACAACAACAGTGCCTATTTAGAGTAGGCTGTATCTTCAGTCCCAACTTGCTGTAGGGTGTGATTTAAGTCACCATCCTTAGTTTTCTTAAGGATATTTATGGGAACGTTCTAGGAAAGTTCACTGTCTTGCTCTGGTCCTGCATTTGGTTCTTTATCATCTCACCCTTGGACTTGATTGACACAACAGCCAGTCATCTGACCCACCAATTTGGGTTCGCCAGCCCCTGTAACCACACTGGTGTAAAGAATCCTCCAGACATACCCACAGACTTGGGACTTGCCAACCTCCTAGCCTCCCAGCCTCCACTACCACATGAGCCATTTCCTTGGCATTTTGTGAGTTCCGTGAGATGTTACTGTGAAATAGGGAACCCTAAGTCAGAAGGGAGAGTACTGGGGGAAGGAGGAGGTGTTCATGTTAGAGATGACGGAGTGGTACAATAATTTGGGAAAGTTGGACATTTGGGGTATCTTTAACCTCTACCACATAGGGCCCAGCCCTATGCTGATCCTTCTCTAAAGGGTATTTATTCAAGCACTTCCTTAATAAACTCATAACTGTGAGTATGGTCTGTGAGGTCTGTGTGGACATTGCAACAAATTATCAATCCCAGCAGAGAAGTACAGAGTGCTATGGGAAGGATGACTGGTGTCAGAATTAGTAAAAAGGTTGGAGGGTAGAGGCATGTCTGACCTCCACCTCATAGGAATCAGCCTAGGGCTGTTGATCTTGATCTTCCTCCCACTTGTAAAGTTGGAGGAGGTCAGACACTCCACAACACCATTTTTACCGCATGGAAAGGGAAATTAGGAGACAAGTAGAACTAAGTTTGCCTGTGAGCAACAGAAAAATAAATACACAGATAACAAAGGGTGAAATTTCAAGTTTCTCTTTCTCCTACTTCCAGAAATCTGAAGGCAATTTGGTGATCTCCCAGTGTCTAAGACGAGTCCAGTCATTACATCTGCATTCTAACCAGCAGCAAAGAGGGGTACTGGGAAGGAGAATGACAGAGATTCAGAACTGCAGTCTTTATTCTGTGTCCACATGCCCAGCGAAAAACTAGTAAATCTATTATTGTGGAAGGAAAAAAAAATTACAGGGAGACAACACGCAGTCCCTGTACAGGAGGCAAGCATTATATAAGATACATGGTACATGGCAGAACCTGGTAAATTCAAGGAACAAATAATATTTAAGAAACAGAAAAGGGGGTATAATGAGAACAAAGGTAAGAGCCAGGCTGTGAACCAAATCTGGAATGTTCTTCCACAGGTAAGAACTGCCAACATAGGTTTATATAAATGGAGCTATAATAAGCAATCTCTGGAGAAACACAAGCTGGACATTTTCCAAGATGAGTGAATAACAATGTGGGAATTCATGTTGGGAAACCCTACCAATCGAAAAGCAAGATTAGCTGGGTTTTTTTTTTTTTAAGTCCAAATTTAAGCAGATGGCAACTAAACTTCAGAAAATATCTGAGGATATCTAATAACAAACCAAAGTGAATGAATGGAACACTTCCTGAAAGTGGGAAAGAGATCAATGTTAAAGTGCTCAGGTAAAGTCAATCTTCTCTCCAGCCAAACTAAGTGCTAAGAAAACAGAAAGTAAAAGACGTTTCTAAATATACAAACACTCAGAAAATTTGCCTCCTACAGAAACACATCAAGGAAAAAAAGAAAAGAACAGTGGGAAGCTGCACACAATAGTGACCACTGAAATCAAGAAAACTTATCAATAGATGCAAATAATTATTGATTAAAAAACATTTTTAATGTTTCCTCACACTCAAACTAAAATTAAAACCAGCCGTTATGCAGGTACAGATGTGATACAAATTGGTGAGAATGCTAAAAAATGAACTGCACAATGCTCTTTCTCTCATTTAGAAAAAGAGAAGATACTTTAAATTTTGGTTTAAACAAAAAAAAAGCTTAAGTGTGTATGTGAACAGCTTAAAGCTAACCACTAAAAAATGCAGGGATTGGTGCACAGCTTCCATAATAAAGATATAGAGAAGAATAAATATAAAGAAAATGAAAATGATCAGTCCAACATATCATAGAAAATGAGACAAAGAAACCCAGAGATAGCATGGAAAATACAACTAAACACGGTAACAGTAATTCCAAATATTGTGATTAGTAATATGGGCTAAGTATGGAATAAGTAAAATCCCCCCATAAAAAAGATATATATATACCAGACAAACATGTCACAACTATATGTTGCTCAAAAGAAATAAATGTACAGCCTGATGAGGGTAGGAGATTAACAAGATGAACCCAAGAAAAAGTAAACAGGAATTAGAAAATAATGAAATAACAATGTATCAGGTAAACAGAATGAGAACTGATAGTCACCTAATTAGTACAAGGTAGTCACGTTTTACACAAGTTTTACTCAGGAGAATCCAACTCAACCCCTTTTGTATACATCCTAGTTGAGTGAGCGCCACACTGTAGCAGACAGATTCCCCTATTCTGGCCCCTCCAGCTGGAGCATCCACTGGCTAATCAAGATGCCCAGACTTTTCCAGGAGGCAGAGAGTAGCAGAGCACGCTATGCTATGCTAGCTGTAGCACACTTTCTGATTATGAGCTCACCCATCAAAATAATGGCCAAGTTGTAGGGTTTATGCCTGTTCAGTACCTGTACCCATCCCAGGAGCACACATGTGCTTGTTCCTCCAACCTCCAACTATCTCTAGTCTTTTCCAGGTGACCTGAGACAATCAAGCCAGAGCATGAGAAGCAGAAAAAACAAGTACGTACTTTGCTGAAAAGGGCACAATCAACATCTAGGCCTAGAGTGTATGGAGTCTAACGTATAAAGGTAGTGCCACTTTAATTCAACATTGCCCTGAATCACAAATTACTCATTTTGGCATTCCTCACAGCAGCAGCTACCTATACTAATTCTGCAAAGTACAATGGCTACCCTGAGCTTGTTAAAGAAAATACATTCTACTCATAGAGTATACACACATGCCATATTGTCCATTTAAAGAAATGAATTGTTTCAAGTTTGAATCATGATTTACTTTGGAATGTAACTCTTGAAGACGCTGTGACACAAATATGCAAGGCAAAAATATAGATAAACAAGATCACCAATCCTGGTAAAATGGCAAATAAAATAACCGTAAAACACCTAGAAATGATGGATGAAAGATAGCAAATATCTTCCTGAATATATACCTAAAGTCTCAGGAAAGGGAGGACATCTCAAAAATGAAGAGAACTGAGCCCCAGAAAAATAAGCACAAGCTGAAAACAATGCTATCTCAAGGGAAAACTGGGGAAGGGGTTGCTGCTCCTGGGGAGAAAAAAAAAATGGGATTTGACAGTACGTGAGGAGAGTAACAAAGCCTTGGGCCCACGAGAGGCGAAGAGGTATGGAACTAAAATCCTAGTAAGACACAAACCTAGTAAGGGCACAAACTCAGAATAAGGGCCACCCTGAATGTGAATCCTAACTCTGCTGATCCCTCACTGTTGTGTGATCTTGGGCAGGTTTCCCAGTTTCCTCACCTGTAAATGAAGATATAATAGCTGCTTCATTGGGTCAGGTGAATATAATGACTTCATACATCTGAAGCACTGAGCAGTGGTGGCTATCATTAGTATTACGCAATAGTTTTAACATCTATTTTTTTAATTTAGATCCCGCACATTTTAAGTTCATTTATTATTTTATCTTTAACTTCTATTATAAATATTTTGTCATTGTTCTAAATAGTTATTGGTTAAAAATAAAAAGTATATTGATTTTTATGTTAATTCAGTGTCATTCAGGCAGCCTCACTGAACACTCTTCTACCTGGCACCCCACCTCTTCCTGTCACACTCGATAACTTTATAAGGTCAACTCTCCCTAGCCTTTCTTTATGTGCACCGTCTACAGCCTAATGCAATCCAGCCTGTAGCACCCTCTACCTTTTGCAAAGCTGCCATCCACCTCCTACCCCCTAACACTCTCTCTGCTTTGGAAAAACTGCATAAGACTCACAAGTTCCCAAATTTAATT